GCAAGATACTTGCTACCCACAATAAACACCAGCATTTCTAATAGCAAACTGGCTAAGTGTTTAAGCATATCACAACCAGGGGGTCTGTGTGTGTGTATGCTGAGAGGTGCAATTGATTTTTTGTGTGCGTTTTTCTAACCACTAGCCCAACAGACTATAATCTAAAATATAATGGGATCACAAAAACTAAGTTATCTGTAGCATCTTTTAATATGGCACCAAGAAAAATGAGGGATATTCATAGGCAAAAACAAATCTCTTTCCATAATAGTTAAAACTAAAAAACCATATTTGCATACTAATCTACTGCAACTCGTTTCCAGAAAACAAGGTAAAAGTTTATTCACTTGAAGTCAAGTGCTGCTCAGTAATATTAAGTACTCAGCTTTATATTTCTGTACTTTTAAGTTTTCTAGTGTCTACATTAAGTACAAACAGTTGACTTGTTACTAACACCAAAAATAGACTACAGCTTTATTCTCACACACAACCTCCAACAAACTCCTTTTTCTAAACCTTCCAAGTACACTTGAACTAATGACTAAATATGTCTCACAAATTTGACATGGCAAAGTGGTTCCTTAGAGATAATACATTTTTCATATATGAATTTGAATTTTAAGTGTAATACATCTGGCCTAACAATTCTTCCTAAGTGTAAGAAGCATAATTTGGCCTACAGAGAATTCTACCCACCCTGATACTGATCTAGACTTGGGCCAAGTGTCCTATGAGGCCAGTGATTGTGTTAAATACTGAAGGAAAAAGTGCAATAAAAGCTGTTCTATTCTAATTCCTATTCTTCGTACTTCCTCCCCTGCCACGCTGTTGCTGTGGGGCTCTGAGTGGCCTGTTGTAAACTAAGCACGATGTGCCTGGTTTCAAAGGATCCGCTCCCGTTGCCACGGGTTCCTGCAACCAGGCACCAGCAAGTCCACTTGGGCAAGTTCACTTTCTTCCAGATCTCAACTACTGGCGTGAGTTCTCTTGGAACTGCTTTCTTTTTGAAACATCATTTTTTTGGTGACAGGGCATTTGTCTTATTTTAGACACAGTCCCACAAACATCTTTAGAGAAGCAAAGTTTGACTTTCAAATATTAGAAGTGTAGGAGTCTAGCTTTTTAATTTGGCTTCAAACATTGGGGTCCAGTATACAAATCCTTACAAAGGTCAGAGGAAGTCTTTTGATGCCCTGCTTTGGTTCTGGAAGTACTTACAGATACTAGATACCATGAATATCTTTAAGAGGGGTATTCTTATCTAACAACAATTTAACAGTCTACAAATCTGTATTTGCTAAATTATGATTCACTCTAAACAGCCTTTATCAGTTTTATCTATTGCATAGTAAAGTCTGGAGTGTAGTAACTAGTGTAATATAGATGATACGTAAAGATAGTATTTTGATAGTAAAGTATACAACTTCACAATAAATACTATAGTATTTATGATATCTATGCTATAGTAAAATTGTATAGTAGATGGTAATGATATTAAAGTCAAATTAATATACTTCCTCTTTCATCTAAACTTTATATTCCATTGCAATGTCATCTAAAGTATATATTTTTAAACAATCTTTAAAAATTTCTCAGACAGAGCAAGGCTTTCATAATTGTTTTGGTTTGCCAAGGCTATTGGAGAAGGGATGAGAACGAAAGCTGTGACCTTGACAGTGGTACAAATAGCATTGTACATGTGGAAAGAAGGTTCTGAAGAAATATCAAGGTATGGACATAGTTGAGGGATGAAATAATGAAGAGATTTTGCCCTTTTATCTCACAATAAGACTTGAAGGTTTTCTTTAGAAGGTAACTTTGAAAAATAATGATGCCAGTGAGATATAAGTTCTTTCATTCATCGATATTTATAGTTTGCAGGTCCATGTACCTATAATTGCTTCCCTTTTTTATAGTAGACTCTATAGATGCTAAGTTTAACAGCATCAATATACCTGGCATCATTCTATGTCAAAGCACAACAAAGAAATAATTTCTGGGCATTGTTATTGTCCTTCTATAACCCAGAGCTATTAGTGATGGCTCAACGGTGTTAACATTTCACTGTGTATGCCTAGCAAACACTAGTCTGAAATATAGTCTCTGCACTACCATAAAGATGGGTGCTAGTCATCGTTATAATATTTTTAGCTCAGTCACAGATACACTCTCTGTGACGACCCTGATTGCATTTGTTTTAAAGTCTACATTAAAGACCCAAGTCCTGACTTTCTATCCTGATTATACATTATACTCTTCCTCTTTTCTGTAATGTTTATTCTGAAGCACTTTGACCAAACAGCAAGATCTGGAAATTTAAAACTCCCTGGACCAATGAGAGATGGCTAGTCATTTGTCTGCATTCTCCCGGTTAAGCTTACGTAGAAGGAAAGATTACTGCTTTCCTTTTCTTAAAGTCTCATGTTGCCTAATGATTCAAAACAGCAGAGCTTGTGAGAAAGCCATAATTAATTACAACAAACACACAAGTCTCACTGTGTCCAGAGCAATTAACCTAAAGACCTGGTTTAAAAAGATAGATCCTATAGGAAAACAGACTTAGTGCCTACTGAACAAATAAGACAGAAGGGTTTCAAAGACACTCTTGATGCAGCTATGCCCACTGGATCTTGCTCTGATAAATGCAATTACTTTGAATTTGTGCTTCTACAAACTCAATCGTTTATACAGAAAAGTGCCTATCGGTCCATCTCTAAATTAGTTTCTCTCTTTTGAAACAGAAGGATCCCAGTCAAATTAGAGACAGAATTTAAGATTAACGAGCCTCTGGCTTAGCTGGGCTGGGGGTCTGAGACTGAGGAGGTGGGGAGTAAGGTGAATGCTGGTTAGCCTTCAGTGCTGTTCCAGTGTTCTCAAAGAGAGGACAAAATGACTGTGGTTTTGGCATGCAGGGGCCAGCTTGCTCAGGAAATTGTGGCATGTATAAAACAAAGTACGTAAACAAACTCTCCATCCAGGAAGCTGAGTTTAACAATTGCCTCATTAACAAGATCCAGGGAAGGACAGGAAAAGAGGGGGAAGCCAATAGCTGATTATTATACAGCTCTAAACAGATGAAGCCCTTCAGCTCCTCCCCAAACAATCCCTGTAGTGTGAATTTGACAAAGTGGCACATTTAAGAGGGAACTCTCTTGCCATCAATGGGAGTCCGGCGCACCCGTATCTAAGGGCCAAATTCAGTCCCTGGAACTTGACTTTATCGGTAGACATAAGACAGAGGACAAGGCAGCTACATCCACAGAGAATTAATTAAGAGCAAAAGCAACGTCCAGCGAATATAATCAATAGTCTGAATACTGATCTACATATCAACCAGCATTGCTTTCTCCTCTTCTATTTCTTTTAAATTATTTACACTAAGGTGCTCTTATAACTACTACTTCAATAGAGATTTACTTGCCACTTGGCCTCACTGAAATTACATATTTCTCATATTGTATTATACAAAATATATCTACAAAGACCAAACATCCCGATGTCAATTTAAGTTTCTGAACGGTTGAAATCTTTTCAGGTAGAATTTTATCATGGATATTTATTCATTTGGCTTTCTCCCTGCACATTTATCCAGTTTCGTATGGGAAGTATGTTAAAAAAAAAAAAAACCCTGATTCGAAATTGCAAAGTCCACACCCAAATTTGTCTTTCCTAGCTAATTTTCTCCTATCTCCTTTTAAAATCATCCCTTTTGAACATACCATAAAACCCCTTGCTAATTATTAACAGTGTTGCTTACAAAATACTGGCTTAACACACTTCCAGCAGCAGTATTTGCTTCTTCTAGCTGTCTCAACCCCTCCCCCGCCCAACACACATATCCAAAGCACATTGCAGTTCCCTTCTTGAAACCAATGAAAACAATCACATAATTCTGATATTGCTTTCATTCCTGCTGGGCAATAGGACAGGTCTCATTACCTTCATTTTTCAAAGGCTTACCAGAAACATCATTTTTCAAGACCAGGTTCTTGGTTAAGTCCTTTAGCAAAGATTCTGATTTCTTCTTGAATCTGTGCTTTGATTGCATCTCTTGTAAGCAGCACTGAGACCAGAGTAATTTGTCAGTCATCACTTTTGACTCCGGCTTTGCTCTAGCCCAGCAATTCAACAGCAGCCTTTATTGCTTAAGGAAAATAGGAAATGCTGCCTCCTGGACACAAACATGTGGATTCTCTATGTCCAGGACCAAAAAGGTGAAAAGGGCAGATTTTACCAACATTTCCTTAAGAATGAAAGTCTCCACTTTTAGCACATGTGGATTATCATCCACGTGTGTAATGCTTTGCTCATGAATCATAATTTATCCGTCTATGTGTGAACAATTTTGGATTGTCATTGGGTCTAATTTTACAGATCTTACTTACACCATACTCCCTTTGTAACAGGCGAGAGTGTGACTTGAGTAAGCACCATAAAACCAGAGCCCAGTGTTCCTTCTGACCCTGACTGCGTTTGTAAAAAGATGTGATTGCAAAGGGAGCGCCAATACAACCTCAGGATAATCTAAAATATCATGACGCCATAATAAATGAAACACTGAAATGGAAAAACATGTTTTGCTGGGAAGAGGTTGATTTCTTCTTACTGAGAAACTAGTAGGCAGGCATAATTTAAAAAAATAATGATAAAATGTAGAATTATTACTGACACAATGACAGCGTAGATTTTAGTGACCAAAAAAAGCTGATGAGATCTAGAAGCATATGCTACCCATGTTTGAGGCCCACTGGAAGCAGCGAGTGTTCAACCAGTTTGGTTTTTATATGGCCTTCAAAGAGCTATGTCAGCTGTGATTCATTATTCTAAAATTGAAAAAAAGATTACCTGATTGTTGACCAAAAAATATGAAATGGAGGAAAAGAAAGCAAACAAACAAACATACCATGTTCACACACAAAACAAAATAATTCTCTCAGGGACATCAGGGAAGGTGGAATACTATAACAACACATGTTATATTGTTATACTATTCCACCCACCTTAATGAGGAACCCTTGGGCGTTGCTACTCCATAGCCTTTCGAATCCAGATTTCCTCCCACTTTCATCGTGTCACACGGCTTTCGCTGCTCAATGTATTCATTCATAGTGGACTCCAGGAGAAAGGCAAATTTGCCCTTGGATTTGCGGACACGAGCTACTCCCTCAGCTGTAGTCCTAGTGAACACTGACGGCTCTGCTGATCGCATGTAGGTCCACATCTTTTCATACACTGCTATTTTTGATCTCTGGAGGAAATGAAAATAAAATTAAATACAGGAAAGAAGGGAACAACATGTTAATATTGACTGAATCAGGATAAGAATAAAGCGTTTTAGTACCTTTCCATTGCCCTCTAACTCCAATTTGCCATAATAACATTATTCTTTTTCCAGTGAGAAAACTGCCTTTTACAACTATTTAAGGAAATCACTGAAATGACAGACGTTTCAAAGTGAGATTTGAAGAAGCTGGTACCTCTTCTCGTAATAACTATCCTACTCAACTGCTTAAAGGACAACTTATTATCAATTTTTAAATGTAGAATGCCATGAAGAGAGTGGAACATTTAAAATCATGTGTTATATCACATTCATGGCAAACTTGAAAAGGACTAGACAAGACGTGATTTCAGCTTTGTAAAATATCTTTTAAAACTGTACTTGAATTCTAACAAATAAGGAGAATTATTATATTGTTTCATTTTTATCTTTTTTCATGCCTCAAAGTTTCAATGAAAACTGTCCTGATAAGATGTGTACAACAAGTGCAGTCTGTATCAGTCAGTATTTGAGCACCAGAGGAGGAGGAGAAGTCATTGTAGCTTACAACCCAAATATCCATAACACAAGAATCAAACTCTAGGTCTACAAAACATTTTTGGACCTTTTCTAACAAAATCTCCAAGTAGAATATACATTAAATTTTAAAGTGAAATATTTATTTTTGTCCATTTGGGCTCCATCTCCATTACTCCCATTACTTAATTTACCCAGATCCTTTTGCTGGTATGTGCATTCACATTAGACTTTTTAAATTCACACATACACGTTTCTTTCTTTTTTTTGGTGAGGAAGATTGGCCCTGAGCTAACATCTGTGCCAATCTTCTTCTACTTTGTACGTGGGAGACCACCACAGCATGGCTTGATGAGTGATGTGTAGGTCTGAGCCTGGGATCCAAACCCATGAACCCGGGCTACTGGAGGAGAGCACAAGAACTTAACCACTGTGCCACCAGGCCAGACCCGACATGTACAATTTTAATGTGAAAATATATCCAAAGGACCTCAAATGTTCCCAAAGGATATATTTAGTAAGATAGAAAAGGCCGAATCCTGTTTGATGTTTGATAATGCAATGAGATGCATAAACTTTTAGCTGGCACAGCTGCATTTGTTCAATACCAAGGTGCTGAAGTTTTGCATGTGGATCTGAATAAAAAGTAATGCAGAGTAATTCAGACTTAAATCTATGCCTGAAGCCAAATCCTGAGTAGCATGTGTTTTCATTTACATTGACCTTCCTTTGTTTACCAGGATACAGAGTCTAACAGGAAGCAAATCTTCAATAATCAACAAATATGCTGACTAGCAACTTCAGAATACATGTTTTTAGGCAAAAGCAAATTATTCTGGTGGACAAAGAAAGAAACTGATAATGGTGGTATTCCAAATTTTGATTTCATAAGATGAGAATTTAGTAATCAATAAACCTATGTAATAAGCCACACAGTAAGAGATTTGCATACTTGAACACCAAAAAACCCCATATTTTATATTAGTGTATATTCAAATGGTGATAAATATCAAGATGGGAAATAGACATCCTGTAGTCTCCTATGAAATGTTTTTATGTGATTAGCACTTAAAAATATCTCATGATACAGAGATTATGATGTGTGTGTGTTTAAGTAATGACAGGTTACTTTTGGCTACAGAAATCCTTAAATTAGGAACTTCCATGCCAACAATACAATTCAATGGCAAAGTTTCTATGTGGTTCCAGGACAGAGGAGTATCCAGATTCAGAACCCTCCACCATGGGACCCTCTAGGGAGGCCATGTTGCTAGGTCTGGTTCACCCCATCTCTAATGATAGTGTTCTCTTCTGGAGAACTAACTCTTCCATTTTACAGTGAGTTCCAATCTCTGGATCACTTGATACAGATTGTCCTTAAACATCTCTTCTGATCATTTCAATTTAGAGAAGTACTGGTAAACAACATCCGTTAGGCATATAATCACTTTTTTTTTTAATATCTTGATACCTTGACTTGAGAGTGCCACCCAAAAAGGTATAGAGTTCCACATATATTGTATACTTTACTATGTGTACTACATTGAAAACAGAAGAGAGAAAATCTGGGTATTATTTTAATTGAAATATTTTTTTGAATTTTTTTAAGAATATGAGAATCATGATAGTTACTTGGCAGCTTTCCTGTTACTACTAAGTATCTTACTACAGGAATAAGGAACAACTAGATGAAATGAACATAGCAAAATAGAAAGAAAGTAGCTTTAGGGCTTGGTAATTATGAAGATAATCTAACTGTAGAATGCAGTGTAACATTAAAGCAAAAGATTGCTTTTTAAAGGAATAAAGTATCTTTAGGCCATTGGTGGTTTTTAGAAATCCATTCCTATAAAATTAATATGAGGAAAATTACTGCTGCATTTGTTTAAATATATTGAATTACAGATACTTTAAGTGCAAAAGAAGTTAAATTAATTCCTTTAAAATCTGGAAGAGGAATCCATAGTGTAGTTATACTATACTTAGCAGGCCTTAGGCATAACAGAAATTGTAAAATACAGACTCTCAGTGGAAAATCAAGGAAAGACGAAAGCAACTTCTTTGGAGAAAAAATATATTACACAGTTTGCCACTTCGTTCATGTTTAGAAATTCCGATTCTTATTTAAAAGGCTTGACTTAGATAAGATCACTCATCCACACAATAAAGGGAGTGTGGGGCTGGGGCATTGGCGGGGGATTCAAGAGATGAAGGACTGGAAATCATAGCCCCGTGCCTTATCTGTGACTGCAAGAGAATGTTTGCTAAGGAATAGGGGCAAACAAATCTTTATAAATTTGATGAGACAGGATAAAATAAGGAAATTTCTGCAGCTCTAGCAAGCTCATAAATATAGTGATAATGGAACTGTAAAGGCTCTGAAAGCTTCAACTGTGATACCTACTTAATGATCAGGTTTGGGGAGTGAAGCAAAGATAAAACGAAAGTCATTATTTTTCTGAAATTAGAAATTAATCTCAGATTTATTTGTTTCATCTTTGTTGTGAAGGTTGCATGGCAAAGTATCTGATTTAAAGCACTATTTTATTGCTTAATTCCTGGAGGTTTAAAAATGTGCTGTCCTTTTAATTTCTCAAAAATTAAGTATTCTGCCATTTCTGCTTTTAACGGAAAATATGTCCAAATGTCATGCATCATAGTTAATATTTACATTGTTGTCAGGTGAATTATTTCCTGCTTCTAGCAGCTTATGCAGCAAGACTGATGTTCTCAGAAAAGCTCAGTGCCCTAGTTGATAATTGATCAGCTCTGGGTTGGTAATCTGCCTCATTTATGCATTCATGATTTCACCGATGACTGAAACAGGCACAGGATAAAATCTGCACCAAAGTGAAAATCAGTGTATCCAAATCAGGTATATAACAACGGGCAAAAGTACCTAAATAGCAAGGCTGTCAGGAAGTGAAAAGTACAAACTTTCTTTAAATGCCTCTGTGTTTATGCTTAGCAAGGTGAACAGAACATGAAACACATCAAGTTTTACAATGGGGCAAAACCAAGGCAACAGTTGAATTCAGCTGTCAGTTTCCCCCCTCGTCTGATTCTTTTTCCCCTTTCATTATAACTGCAACACTTTTGAAGCACTGAGTGTAAGTCACTGCCTGAGGCAGTTTAGAGGAGCTGACAGATGTACGATTACTGTGTTCCTATGAGAAAACATTTTTGACAAGTACAAAAATATCCTTCACGTTATGTTTTCTCAACCTGTCAGACAAATGGTTTATTTAAACCAGGTCATCATCCACGGGAGGGGCGGGAGAGCACAGTAGGAAATGAATGAGATTTTTATCAGAGAACCCAAATTTATTCATTCCCGAAAGTGTGCTGCCAGGGAAAATTATTTTCTTGTCCCATTAGGGTTCAGACTGTTCTGCAACAATAAATATCTATACTTACAAAAATCTTTCATTTTTAAAAGTGAAGTTGGGTGGGAGAGAAAAGAAAGAGGGCAAGGTGAATGCCCAGCTTGTATGGAAGGCTCCGCAAATCTAAGAGGCAGCTTTCCTTATTCCCATATTCGCTTATCATTATATTCTCTTATCTACTTCATCACTTTTTAGAACTCGAGAAGTTTTTAAAAACTCTGTAAAGATTAGAAATAAACATTTTCAGTGTGCTTGATGCCAAAGGGCTTTATAGTGAATTATTTTTGAAATTTTTTCAGGGAATCAACATGACATTTCTTTCTCCCTTTATCTTTCAAGGCAGAATGATGAACTTGAAAGTATCTGCTTTATTTATATGAAAATAAGTCATCATTTTTCAGTAAAATGCAAGTGATAGCACAAACTTGGATTCTATTTAGATGCATATCCATAATGGTTTCTAGGCAAAGTTACTAATTTTTACCTACTTAGTTTTGTGTGGAAGCAGTTACAAACTTACAGATTTCCCGCGAGGTAAGGAAATTATGCTAAAATGTGTTAGAGCAGTATGTTTGTATTATTAAGCTTTAACGACTGGGATGCACTATTAAGTTTTAAAAATTTGGTCATTTACGTTTATCTATAGAATATTGTTAATAAAATATATCATCAAGACTATCATTTACAGTTTTAGAAAAATCTACAAGTGCTTTATAATTAACTTAAAAATTTTATATCTACTAGCAATGCTCCAAATTGTTGACAAGGACATTGCTCACTGTCTGATTTCTTTTTTAAACAATGCCGAGTGCTGGGTTTGACAGAATTTTTCTTTTTTAAGGAAGATTAGCCCTGAGCTAACATTCACCACCAATCCTCCTCTTTTTGCTGAGGACAATCAGCCCTGAGCTAACATTCACCACCAATCCTCCTCTTTTTGCTGAGGACAATCAGCCCTGAGCTAACATCGTGCCCATCTTCATCTACTTTATATGCGGGACGCCTGCCAGAGCATGGCTTGAGGAGCAGTATGTAGGTCTGCGCCCAGGGTCCAAACCTGCAAATCCCAGGCCGCCAAAGTGGTGTGTGTGAACCTAACCACTGCGCCACCAGGCTGGCCCCTTGACAGAATTTTTGAGTGATTTGTTCTTCATTTAGTATTATGTAAACATCTGTAGTATATAAGGATACTATAATCAAATATTTTTTAACAAAAGAAATATCTTACTGAAATTCAAGTATATGAAATTTAAGTCTCGCTTAAAAGGTAGCACGTTTTGTTGTTTTTAATTTTCCAGCTGAATGAGAAAATAATAAATATACACATTTTGCGTGTGTTTATGAGAAAGATTGGTCCTGAGCTAGCATCTGTTGCCAGTCTTCCTCTTTTTGCTTGAGGAGGATTGTTGCTGAGCTAACATCTATGCCATCTTCCTCTATTTTATGTGGGACGCCGCCACAGTGTGGCTTGAAAAGCAGTGCTAGGTCTGCACCTGGGATCCAGACCTGCGAATCCCAGGCTGCTGAAGCAGAGCGTGCTAACTTAAGCACTATACCACAGGACCAGCCCCCCAAAATGATAAAATATATACATTTACAATGAAAACGTAAATCTCTCAAGTATTATATATAAACATGAACTTACTTGAAAAAACTATCATTATTTTTAAACAAAAGCTTAGGAAATAGTGACATATATCTTTTCTTCTAAATTATTAAATATCTAGTCTTTAAGCAATTGGAATTAAATACAAAATGCTTTCATTATTATCTACTTAAATATTTGCAAAAATGTTTCTCTGACTACTTTTTAGTATTTTGGTTCTGAAGTCACAAAATGAACCCCTATCTCTGATCAGACATTACCAAGTGCATGTCTCTGGATTTAAGTAGAAAAAGAGTAAAGTAGATTCACTGATCAAAAAATTCATCCTCACAATGGAATAAACAACAAAACCCCCAAAACTCCCCAAATACCTGCCATTCTGATGGCAAGTCAAAGGGATCATATCTATATATGAGAGGCAATTCTATCAGTTTGAATGATTTTTATCTGCAAAAGCAGAGAAATCAGCACAAATGAAACACCATACAATAGAAAGTCATCTTAGAAAGGTGTCCAGAACTTCATGTTCTTGCTACTATTATCTTGTGAGAAAGCAAATGTATTGCTTTGAAATCCATTGTTACAGAGTAGATTATAGAATAATATACCTCATAGGTAGTATAACCTGAAAGTAAGGTTCTGGGTTTCAAATGCAGCAAGTTAAATGTATTTTTTAAAAAACCCCTTGCTTTCATTTTTAGGCTCTTAGCCCCTAAATATACGTAAATCCAGTCTTGCTAGATGAAGTATCATAATAGCATTATCAACATTGGAATCTTTGGGATAAATTATATTACAAAGTTGTTTTAATTACCTTTTTGTTGTTACTTTTCCTTAGGGAAGGTCCCTCTTGCAATATGAATAAATCAATCAGGCTTTGCAAATTAAAGGGGTTATGAAATCCAAGTAGAAATAGTAGCATTAAACATAGCAGTTACCATTATGTTTGCAAAACCTGCAATAGCTAGAGCCCATAATATAATTGTTGGCAAAATTGCCTGAATTTAAAAATTATGAACATTTCATTGTTAATTTTTCCCTTAACTTACTCTGAAGAATTCTTTTGTTGACCCTGAATCCAGTGTTCCATAGGCAATTTCTGTTTGTTTGGCCAAGTCTTCCGCACTTTCTATGGGGGAGACCATTCGCTCAACCGTCAGGAAAGCAGCGAGGTTAGCAGTATAAGATGATATAATGATGAGGGTAAAGAACCACCAAACACCTCCAACAATTCGACCTGAGAGGGATCTAAACATGGATAAGATAATGCACGTTTTCCCTTCTCTAACCAACACAGAGAAAGAAAAGAAATACCATCAATTCACCATGAATGTTTAAAAATAACAATTGCAAGTATTTTATTTTCTAACAGTCTACTCAAGAATGATTCTAGTATTTCTGTATAATTTGATGTCTTTTATGCTATACTGAATGTATAAATGCCACTGAAAATATGAAAAACTTCCTTTTTATTATTTAATTCGCAGAAATGTGGAACTTTAATGCCTTTCCTTTAGGTACAGCAAAGGAATACTTGCTTAAATTCATTGGTACCCTCCTTGTGTTACATTTTAGCGTCTCTGAAATTAGGATGCAGCCCATGGTTGATGAGATAAAACACAGTGTCATGGTTCAATTGTCAGCATTGTTTCTCTTTGGTGGTACACGAAATAGCAATACATCTTAACAATGGGTGAGGTCTTAAATTCGATACGAGTTGGCAGATGCCTTTCTGAGAGAACTTGTTTTTACCTTCAGTCACAGCCTTGCCAGGATGGATGGGACATAAGCTAAGGAGACTGGATGAGATGTGGCTCTAGGTTTGGTCTCAAACTGACCATAGTTGAGGATTTTTTTGTTTGCTGGATATTCTATTTCTGCTCTGAATGGAGGATGAGCCATGTCCTAAAATATCTTTATATATTGGTATAAAAATGTTCCCTTTACCACTGCCAACATGTGACCAAAGCATGTGACTTGTCAGTGTGCAGTGTAACAGCATTAAAAACTGATGCTAAATCTCACAAAAAAAAAAAAAGTTCTCTCTTCACCCTTTCTCTGACTATCAGGGATGTATGGATGAGTGTGTGTGCAGAGGAAAGGTGAGAATAAAAATTCAGGGCATATTCATAATTGATCTCACTCATTGGGGTCATCAAAGTATTTAGAATTCCTGTGACAAATTGTTTTTAGACATTTTTTTTAATCTGAGGAAAAATTTCATATTTTCCATGGCACTTCCAGCTTTAAAATGTTCCCTTCTTAGCCATTATTATGTAAGGGGCACCAGTTGGTTTGAAATTAGTATTTGCTTAATCTCATTTTTAGAAACCATTACTTGATTTGCTTTGATTTCTTTTCATTTCATTAAGTGAAAGTTTTTGATTCAGATTGCTATGTTATTGGCATTTAAGCACATTTATAGTCTTCCTGGATTTTCAGGAACACAAACTGCATTGTGGCTAAAATGTCTTTTTTTGAGAAAGTGTACATTTCTTAAAAAAATCCATATATTTATGATGCTAATATAAGTCACTATTTAAATTCGATTCTTAGCTTCTCCTACCTTCAACTACTTTTTCTATGGGAGAAATTTGGTATTTTTCTTGTAACAGGTGACTGACTGCATCTTTGGCAAACAAAACTGAAAAGTGTTTTAGTGACATCCAAAGGAAGTAGGCCATGACTCCACAGAAATGGAAAACCCTCTCTATAAAGCTAACACAGTATTTACATTGCTCTTTGCCTCCTGCTTAGCTTGTTTATAGGTTGTTATACAGAACAATGTATATCTGGTACCTGCTATATTGACTCAAGTTTCAGGTAACTCCATAGCAGAATTCTCCCTTAAGCTACATGGAATGTAGGTCAAATTCAAAATTAATTTTTAAAAGTGAACAACAGCAACAATAACAAAAATATTTGATTTTGAAAAGGAGACAAAATGAAAATGAATTGCTATTCTTACAATCTAGATTTTAGTTTGCATCTGCCAAACCACTGAAGGAAATATTCATACCAAGTGATTTTTGAGAGTTCTAGTGGGTTGCATATTTTCTATTGGGAAAGTTAATCTTTATGATATAGTATCCACATTTTGTGCTCACTTGGAAAAATTGGCTATAAATATATTTAGATTAATTTGGGAATTGCAGGTTTTTTCTGTTTCAAGTAGTGCTCTGCCTCCAGGAAAAGAATATGTCGAGAGATGTTCCGCACAACACTTAGAATTACTGAGGAAATTGGTGAAGAACTTAAGAGTTTTGAAACTAACCTGGGTGAAATGTCACATCCTTGTTGCATAAAAGCACCCAGGGAAAACCAGAGGCTGTTAAAGATGCCAAACTCATTGGGAGGCTGGTCGCTGGGTCCTTCCTTTCCATCCTCTGGCTCTTCTGTGTGCCACTCATACGGACTAAACCTACTAACTAGGAACAAGACCACGCTGACGCCAATGTAGGCAAAGACTATGCACATCCAAATCTCATAGGCCAGAGGATCCAAGAAGGAAAACACTCCTGGTTTAGATTTCTGAGGCTTTTTGATCATGATAGATATGCCCAAACTCATGAAGGGCTTAGAGAAGTCAATGACCTCCTCTCGTACCAAAGTGATTGTCAGAGGGGCAATAGCAATCTCTGCTTTCTATAAGAGAAAAGACACATGAAAACACATAGGTTAATGAATTTCATGAAGTAATTAGCACTGGATTGATCCATTCAAAGCTAACCAGTTATGCATTCATGCTGCATTTTTTTTTGGAATGGCAACAATGAATAAGATAAATACAGAGATGAACAGTAGATTTGTTTTCGTAAGGTATCACTTAAATTGCACAAAATATTTTTATTGGTGCTAGTAATTAGATAAGAGGAAGAGAAATGGAGACAGAATAGACATAAGCAAAAATAACTTGAACTCAAATAACTGTATTCGTCTTTAAGGATCTAGGACAGTGCAGGGGAGAATAGTCTTTCCATATGGCTGAATTTCTGAATTTCTTGGCCAGGAACGCTGCTATGTTGCAGCCTGTTCTGTTTCATTTGGAAGGCTGCCACTGATTCACGACTTGGCCATCCCTTAATATTATGAATTGCAAATTTCAAACAGTCCTTTCTCTTTTATTCCTTTCCAGTCATGAGAAAACATCATGAAGTCTGTGTTCGTAAGACCGAAGAAACCCACTGTTTAACAACATCTTCCAATTCAGCACACACACAAAAATCTGGAAATTGGCATTTATTTCTTCCTAGTCACATATTTTGGTTTTCTACTTTCAAATTCTAAAAACGATTTTGGAAAGCAGTGGATTCATTTCTCAGATATTATGATCGTAAGATACCAGCTTCCATTTTCATTCTGTGATTTTGAGCCATTTTTCTGAGCCTAGTTCCCTATCTCTAAAATGAAGACATTTTCCTGTTTACTTCATTGTATTGTTGTGATTACCTATTTAAAAACCTTAATAAAATAACAGTGAGTGTTTGTTGAAGGATTATGCATCTGATGCTGATCTAAATATTTTAAACGGCCTCTCATCTAACTCTTATAACAATCTCATGTCTATCATTGTTTTATAGATGATGAAACTGAGACTTGGTGAGTTTTACACATAATGGCAGCTCTGGAATTCGAGCCTGTGATTCTTCCATTAAATCATGCCACTTCTCAAAGCAAAGGAAATAAACTATGGTGAAAGAAACTGGAAACTGTTACTTTATCTACAAATGAGATAAGGTTTTCGGATTATTTTAAAAGGGAACTAACTGGCATTAAAATGGAATATGAAACATACTCAGACATACGTGTTCTCACAAGGGGTTACTCTTATATTTGTTCCTGTATATCTTTAGTCCTGTGGTTTGATAGAAGGCCAGCAGCTTGATACAAGGGAAGCTGGAGGGTTAGCATGGGATGGTTCTCTGGGCGTCATGCTATCCGCTGGCTGACTGAGAACTGCCTGTATGTGCCTTTAAGTAGGAACAAACTTAGTTCACATCAAAAACACGCAGATATACAAAAGACACAATCATTGCTGAGAGGGTATTATTTGCCCATAGTTATTATTATTTATGTAATTTTCATTACACGTGTTATATGAACTAGCTATAGAAAAATCAGTACTTAAAACGAGAACCAGAAAATTAGGAAAAATTATCTCCATTCCCTTCACCTACTCATTTTTTCTTCCTATATGTCCTGCTAGGCATTGTTTTATGAATAATATTTTTTCTTATTTTAAAATTGGATAATACAGAACATTACATTTTATAATTCATTTTCTCAAAAGTATATGATGAACTCATTTTTATTTCAACATATATAGTAAAAATTAAGTTTTAAGGCTTGCAAATATTTTATCATGTGAAGGTATCAAAATTTACTCAATCAATTTCTCATTTTGGGGGATATTTATATTGTTTCCAGTTTTACACAATTTATTACAGTGATGATGTGAACATCTTTGAAGACAAATCCTCACACATATCAACTATTTAAGAAAAATTTCTAAAAATGGGATTGCCGGTCTAAATGGTAATCTTTTTAATGCTCATGATATTTTTTGCCCAATTTTTCTCCAGGAGGTTCATACAAATTTCTACTGTCACCAACACAGTGTGAAAACACCTGCAGCTTTAAATTTTGTACACCCCCGTGAATCTTTATTCTCATTTATCTTCGCCATCTTGCTATATGGCAAATTAGATCTCATTGTACTAATTTGAAATTGTCTTTGTAAAACAAATAGCAACTTTTACTTCTTTTATGCATTACTTGTCATGATCTGCCCCCATTTTCCATATGGGCTATTCATTTTTTATTTACTAATTTGTAAGCACCTTTAGATATGTTAAAAATATTAACTTTTATTTTCTATATATACTACAAATATTTTCCCTATTCATCATTTGTTTTGTTCACATAACTTAGTTCATGGTATTTTACTGCATTATATGCATTTTGAATTTTGTTGTAACCATATAAAATTATCTTTTTGTGTTTTGTGTTTATTATCTTTGTGTTTTCATGCTTAGAAAAATCCTTCTCATATCATATGATCAGTCTCATATGATATAATTATGGGACCTCTGATCTCTCTTGGATTTATTTGGCATATTGCATGATGATGTGTTGCAAAATTATTAATTTTCCAAGTAGTTCCCTATTGTCCTGACAGGAATAAATGAATAATGCATCCTTTCACTGATTTGAAATGCTACCTTTCACATACTATGTTGTGTGTGTAGTATCTTCTGAACTTTTTTATTTATACAAGTAACTGCTAATGAGAGTGAAAGCCTTAAAAGGAAAGAAGTGTGAGGAGAAATAAAGGGGTCTCAGCACATAACACTAAAGGCCACAGAAGGCAGACATTTCATAAAGGTGGTGATAATGATGTTGAAGGAGGACACTTTTGAAGTCTGAGATTTGTGAGATGAACAGAGAGGATACACAGAGGCTTTCTCTGCTAACACTGGAGATATGTCATTGTTGCTTGTTCCATTATCTCAGCGATTCCCAAAATTACGTGTGTAAAATATCTCCTGCAGGGGCTCTATAGGGTTGGGGTTCCTGAGGACCACTGGAGTGAGGCTCAGGAACCAGCGATTTAACACATCCCACAGGTAATTCTGGTGCTGGTAGGCCATGGAACGTGTCTGAGAAATAGTCCCTTGGATTAAACCATATACACCGGTACTGCAGGGCGCAGGAGAAGGCCCTGGAGCAGCGCACCACAGGAGGTTGTCGAGTGGACATGCTGCAGTGCGCAGGTGTGACAGACAGAGAGGACCTGAGAGGGAAAGGGAGGTTCTGAGCTTCCGGGTCACCACCTGGTGGTGTGCTGAGATCACACATGAGTGTTTCACAGATAATCTGTTGCTAACAATTACAGTAACAAAGTTTGCAAAGAATAAAGTAAAGCAATATATAGATGATGGATTTAAAGTTCATCATTTTGCTGTCTAATAGGCTCTGTGGGGTAGAAGAGAATGGGCTGTGTTACCTAGGGCCCTGGAAACTGAGCATTTCTATATGTGTTAGCAACAAGAAAGTAAAAAAAGGTGGAGAAGCAAGTACAGACTTTGCAGACACCAGAATGAAAAGTACCAAATCTGCGGAAAGTGTTAAGAAACATGAAAGATTTCTTCAGGAAAAAAGTGGACAGCTCAAGTGGCAGAGTTTGGGGTATTTAAACCCTTGCTGTATTTAAACCTAGCTGATGAATGAATATAACAAGTATTAATAATTATTATGTTATCACCTCTCTCTGTCTAAGAACTGCATGACTTTAGGACTTTCTGTTACTGTGACATGTGCACTACTGATATAATTTTTTTTCTAATTCTGCTACTCTCTTCATATCATTTGTTTTCATTATTGAAATAAAATGCCCTCAATAAAACGTAGTCAGAACCCTTGCAAAGGGGTGAACCTGGGCTGCCCAGTGAGTAGGGCTCCGGAGGAGATAGATGGAACAAACGCCCTAGAAGTAACTCAGGTTAGTAATCCCATCCGTAACCAACTGGTAACTAAGTGTGATTTTTTTTTTTTAAGATGAAATACTCAATAATGTTTTCCGAAGGAAATGAATGACTAGTTCTGACAACTTGGATAATGTTCACATCTCAAATCTGCTTACTGTATCAAAAGTTTAAAATATTACCAAGAAACACGCGCTTTAGGAACCCTTTTTCTTTGGCCTTAAAGATCAATATCAAGCTGTTGATGAAGTCTGTGGTAAAATACTTTTTGCTTTTTTAAAATTGCGTTTTTTTCTCACTTAGGACACCTAACCTGTCAGGAGTTCTTTCAAATGGATATAAAACTAAGCGACTGCTCTTTACTGTCAACCGCTGAGGTGTGCTACTGTACTGGGCTATATGAGAAAGTTCATTGCTTCATGGTCTGAAAAGCAGGATGTGGAATCGTGAAACTATTGAACTGCGGTTCCGGTTTGGAAAGTGAGCCCCTCTGTGGAATTCAGTGATGTTCTAAATCTTCCTACTTTTATTCTTTTCTGGGTGAGGATGACTCTCATAAAATTCTTCATCTCAAAGAGGACTTGTGAGGGTTAATCAGACACAGTATGATTTGAAGGTGAAATTGCTGAAATATGAATTGGCTTACAGGAAATTTCAGAATACATTTCAAATGTATGTGACTTTTATTGGTTACTTGATCAACAGAGCTTACTGTGACGTCTAGGTTTTGTTTCTGGGCTTTGGCGATATCAGACCATCACTAGCATTCGATTCACTGCTGGTTTGATTTTGACACTTTGCAGTGGTAGCTGGTGGACGATCTGGTTCTGATTCAAGCAGGAATATCTGTGTTGAATTTGCCCTTGGCTACGAACGTGTACAGGCAATACCTGGTGAACTCAGAGGGAAGAGCATGATGTATTTTCATGTGAGGCCTGCTATGGAATAAATTCTAGCTTTTGTGTTTTTCTATATATGCTTGTATGAAAAAAATAACAGCAATGCTTAAAGTTTAAATTTACCATGTTCAACAGATTTATAAGAATATTACATTATTTGTGACTATTTTCTAGACGCTAAATAGTGTAGTGACTGCTTCATCAATTACTTAAAAGATACTTATGAGTAATTACAACCAACAAAGATATAAGTAACTAGTTAAAATAATGTCCAACTTTATACTGTTGAAGGAAACCTCTTCCTACAGGTATCAAATAACAGATTACTAATGGATTTGTTCTGTAGTTCTCAAAATAACACGTCTGTGGCGTAGCAGCATCAAACTGCTTAAAAATTGATATGTGCTCAAGTGAAAAGAAGTTTCAGGTTTATGTAAGTAAATTCTTCAATAAATTGATTTGCTTACCCCATAAACAAGTTCTCCTACCATCCCATTCCAGATTTTTGTGTCTGCATCCCTTGCTCCATATTTTCCATCAGGGACAATGGCAATTTTATACTTGATACCAATATGTTTTGCAATTTCAGATGCCAAATCTACACAGTATCCTTCATACTTGTCATTTCCTTCAAACATTTCGTGATTTTTCTTGTACATAACATATGGGGATTCCTATAATGAGAGAAGTAGAACTGTAAAGGAGAAATTACAAAACATTTGAAAATCTTCATGTAACTTTTCGGTTTCAGAATTTGCCAAAAAGATTATATTTGGTATTAATATACACACTGATTTTGTGTGGCTAGAAATCAATAATAAAATATGAATATATAAATATGCTTAGAAGTAAATTAAATTGCTTTACATTGGATACTAAAAATGAAGCTTTTAAAATAATTTTCTATTGATTGATTATTACATACCTAGCACTGTGACAGTGATAGAAAAAAATGTCCATTAGTAATTGTTCAAAAAAACATAAATTATCATCTTTGGCAATGAAATTACTATTTCCAAAATATCTCATAAAGTTAAAGACTGTTTAGTAGTCAGCTTCATGTAATAAAAGACTGACCCAAGGTCACTCATCCAAGGTGTCCATATTCTGCATCTTGTTTAGCCACATTCAGCTGTGACCTCCTTTAGGAAAAGAATTAGGTCATTTTTCTTTGATCTCTAGCATTTCACAAGATGCCTTTCGCAGAGCAGGCACTTGCTACACAATTGTTCAAAGAAGAAATGAATTAACAGTTTAAAAAATTTTATATCATTTTAAATAATTTTTACTTATTTGCATTAAATTTGCTTTCCTAATGTTGTCTGATATTTTGGCTTTAAATAGTGTTGCGATCCATGCATTCTTATAAAATATGTCTCTAATGGAAGCTAATAATTTTCCCCCAATTGTGACAATCATACACTTCAGATGATATTCTATTTAGTTTTCAAAGCAAGTAAGACAGAAAATAGGATGAAGAATTATTGTGAAAATCCTCATAAAATGAAAAAATTTACTGGTGGCTAATAATAACTGGACAGTTTTCAGTTAAAGCGCACACACATACACACACATACATGCATGAGCACACACAACCCTAAACCAAACCATTTAAAGGCCATGAACTAAGGAGACATGTTAGCAAAGAATAACTTGATTTTATAAATGGAAACTAAAGCCACCAACTAAAAGATAGGCCTGGTGAACATGCCAGATGTAGAGAATTCCTGGCTACACCTAAGATTTTCCAATCCTCACGGACAAGGAATGACTACTTTTGGCCACAATGTCATTGAGATCATGTATTCATATTTTATAAAATTGTACTGTAACATTCATTTAGTAATCTTTCATAAGAATTTCTGCCCTCCCAGCAAATTTATAATTGAGGAAGTTGAACTTGCTTTTGGAACTCTGGATTAGGAGGTAATTTACTTTGCATAATGTGGCAGCCTATGCTAATTCTGATTTTGTTTTTAATGTAGAAACTACTTTTAAAATCTTAAGAAAAATGCAAATTACATGATATATGATTTTCTCATAGAGATGCCCTAAATAACTCTATTGTGGGCAATGGTTTAGGACTGGTCCTTGTATTAGTTTTTTAAATCCTGCCTTAGGTTGACATGGCCAACTGACCTAGAAGTCTCTCACTTCTTGGAATTTGATGAATATTCTAACACTAGACTTGAATAAAGAAAGTTTCTCCACCTATAAAATTAAGACAACTAACTGTCTTTTCTTTAGATAGATGAAAATTATTTATTAGCTTACAGAAAACATTCTCCAAATATAAAGGGCTTTGCAATCTATAAATGTGGTTATGAAAAGTGGTGAGTTGTTGCAAAGCATTGTTAATTTCTAAGATATGCTATAAAGTATTTGTAGTTATAAGAAACTAATCCTTAATTTTCTTTTTTTCTTGCTATAGCTAATTAAAAATGTGGAAAAATATGTAGAAAAAAGCAATAATCACACATTTGTAAAACGCTTAACATAGCTGCATAGCTATCATCTGTAACTATTAGTATAACAAACTTAAGAGTTTTTCAGAAGGAGAATCACAATTGGTACTAGGGCTGAAGAACAGTTCTAAAATATCTGGAATATTTAAACGCTTAAGAATTTTATCCTTCAAATATATATATTACCATGTTAACTTGTGTGTGGAAGTTTCTCTAGCTAGTATGAGTCATCTAATTTGCTAAATTCCCTCTACATTATTCACTGAACGATTTGCTTCATTAAAAGCTGCATTTTTATTATTTAATCAAACATTTATTAAGCACCCACTGTGTGCCAGGCAGTTTGCTGGGAACTAGGGGTACAAAATAATGAAATATGCCCCTTGCTCTCTTGTGTTTAATTAAGATCAAATTCTTTGTAATAAGAGTGAAGGAGTGAGAGAGATGGGCCAGTAATAAAATATAGCAGTGAAAAATAATAACAGCTCTTACTTATTTAGTGCTTGCTCTGCATCAGGGACAACGCTAAGTTCTTCAATTGTGTCCTTTCATTTACTTTTCACACTGACAGTTTGAGGTAGGCATTTTCCATTTTGCAGATGGAAAGTCTAAGGCTCAGAGAGGTTAAGCAAATTGTTCAACTTCACAGAACTAGCACAAACAGGAGTTGAACCTATATTTTGAAGTATCTGGAAAATTCTGAAGCTATTATGCATCCATCAAAATATGCGCAACTATTTGAGATTTCATATGATTTAACGAGAGAGGGGATAGATTAAAGAAATGAATTTCTGTATTTTTAGTGAATGAAATTCTTTGTATGAAATTTTGAGTAAACAATGTAGCTAAAACCTTTTCATATCTCCTTATAGTGTCTGGTACATACAGGGCCCCCAATAAATGTAAGGATTCCCTGATCTATTAGTGTTTCCTAAATAGGAATATCATTCCAAAGTAATTATGTTAGGACTTCTGATTCAGGTCTTGAAAAGGAAAGTGGTATGTGCTAGGTCATCTCTTCTGAAACAAGCATATGCGTATATGAGTAAAAATTTTATTTAGTATCTTCTTTCATTTTGTTCAATTTCCTTTCTGGGCATCAGGGGCCCATTAGGTCTTTATTTTTCTGCCAAAAAAGTCAACAGAGGCTAGAAAAACCTTCAGCTTACTGAAGCTGTTGATTAGAAATTTAGCCAGACTTTTTGCACAACTAGGGCCTACACAGTTATCGGCATTCAGATGAGTGGTATATACAGCATAAGAGAAATAAGCTCTTCACACTCAGGGAGGTGGAAGAGCAATGAGAGAGAAAGGCTAGGATTTGTTGAACAGAAGCTTTCATGGCTGCTCAGTTTTACCCAGTTTCTCTGAGTGTATCTCATTTTGCTTTGCTTTCATGTCAAATCCAAATAAGAAGCAAATCCTCAACACTTTCCCAGTCTCCTCATTTACTCGGTCCCCAATCTGACAATTTGTCCATGAGTAGCCCTTCAAACATTGCACACTTGGAGAGACTTAATACAAAGTTTGGGTTACTATGGGTGAAGAAAATACCAAATCTTTCCAATATAATAAAAAATAAGTTCTAGTCGATCCTTAATGGGGATTTGTGGGGCATCTTTGATAAACAGCTTTATGGACTCCCAGGTGTTCAATTGTGAATAAAAATGGAATGATCAGAGAAGTGGAATATAGCCTCTTACTTCTGCCTTAAGAGTATATAACCTACCACTTTTTCTTTTGTTTTTTTGCTGAGGAAGATTTGACCTGAGCTAACATCAGTGCCAGTCTTCCTCTATTTTGTACATGGTTCACCAGCACAGCATGGCTGCCGAGTAGTCTAGGTCCATACCTGGGAACTGAACCTGAACTACTAAAGTGGAGCGTGCTGAACTTAACCACTAGGCCATGGGGCCGGCCCTTATAACCTACCATCTTTATTATCAGCTACTGTGCTCTGTGGGACAGTAATTCCTTAAAAGTTATTTTAAATGCATTACTTTTTTTTTACTTGAGGTAACATTAGTTTATAGCATTATTTCCTAATTATTATGAGTTTATTACTACACTTTCCATAATGAATAGTTCTACATATGCTCCATTATTTCAGGAAAGAACTCCATCTCTGTCTAATGTTGCCACATTAGGTCTTACTTATGAAAATGTTTGTGTAAATGGATTAAGATGATTTTCAATCAATAAAGTGTACTCTTCCTACCAAGGAAAATTTTTTTTGGATTATTTGTATTTAGCAAAAGTGAAATTGTTGAAATAGTGCTTCTTAGAAAGGCTTCAAGATTTTCTAAAAATTACAAATATAATCATTACAATTACTATTGAAAACAGTTAAAATAATAAAATTAGTAGTATCAACCAAACTTATTTGATTATACTATCAACCAAAGTATAACCAAAGTTATTTACATAGCATGTAGATATTTGCTTTTCTCAAAAGAATGTTTTTTTTCAGTTTTTTTTATTGTAGTAACATTGGTTTATGACACTATATAAATTTCAGGTGTACATCATCATATATTTTGTTATCCTCCAAAGAATCTTAATGGATGTAGATAATTTACCCCATAGGTAAAATTCTTAAAAGGGGAAATTAAGGTATTATTCAGTTCAGAAAAAAATGAGTAAATTTAATGGCTGCGCAGTTTCAAGTTTATTAAAAATAACAGTTAAAAACTAATTGAGTTATAAGTACTTTGGAGGCAGGTATAGGTCTGGGAGAATTTAATATTTGGTACAAGGAAGAAAATAAATATATGGCTATTTTCTATATATTTATGTACATATACATACATAATACATTATATATAAATGTGTATACTGTTGTCCATGCACGTGTATCTATGTACAGTCATGAGCTGCTAATGATGTTTTGGTCAGTGGACTGCACGTGGCTGTGGTCCTATAAGCTTAGTAGCATATAGCCGAGGTGTGTAGTAGGCCATACCATCTAGGTTTGTGTAAGCATAATCTATGATGTTCACACAACGATGAAATCACCTAGTGACACACTTCTTGGAACGTATCCTGGGCATTAAGTGACGCATGACTGTGTAGTGCATCTACAGAATTCTACATAGAGAAGATAACATATGAAACATCTCATATAAAGTATGAAAAGCAACCTCTGGAAAGATCAAGTGTGCTAAGTAAATTGTTTTAGGTTTGTAACATAATTCTGATGCTGCAATGAATAAATTTGGATTTATGGAAAATTTTCCTAAAGGATTATTATGTTCATAAGATGGTAGGAAATACCTTCTTAGTTGAATAATGCATCATAAGCATCATTTAACTTTAGTTGTAAGGATTTGGGGAAAAATGCGCTTGGCTGAAATATCACTGCATTCTCTCTCCTTTTCCAGCGAGTTCAGTAGCCAAAGAAAGTAGTGAGATTACAGAGGACAACATCACCCTCTCTTCTCCCAAGGTCCACAGCGAACTGCCTTTTTCCTCAGTTGCTGCACTTATCAAACCACAAGCACAGATTTGGCTTCCTTCCATTGTTTATGGAAATTATTATTTTGAATGCAAAAAGTTAAATCAGTATGGCCACAGCTTCATGAATTTTACAAAATTATTAGTCACTAACACTTAAAAGACAAAAACATGATGAACTTCTGAATCTTAAACTTTAGACCTTTCAACTTTGTAGTCATGATTCTCATGTAATGAGATTGCCAATTTTACTTTTTGTTTAGACTTAGCTAAGTTATATGCAGTATGACTATATTCAGGTAGAACAAATTAATCATTAAAATGAAGATCACATTATGGACATACAACATTGTTATAAGAAAAAATAAATTTCAACAGTACAAAAAGCTAAAGCCACATTTTATTTAAGAATGATATCTAATGTACTTATTTATTATGTTTCTTGTCTGCTTTCCCTCACTAGACTGTAAGTTCAACTGAGTGCAGGATTTTTGTCTGATTTGTTCTCTGACATATCCCCGGGGTTATAACTGTGCCTAGCACATAGCAGACGCTTAATAAATATTTATGAATGAATAAATGAATTTCTCAATAAATTTTATTTAACAATAGCATATACCATTACAGTGTATCAACATATAAATAACAACATACACAAAGGAAAGACAAATGGGAGAACAGCAACACCAAATCAATTTCGATCAAAATGAATGACTTCCAGTGCCGCAATACCCTCAGCCTTCTTCTGTGTCTAGATATTTTATCTTGCATGTATTACAATGTCTAACTCCATCTACGTTGGGAGTTTTCAACTGAATCTGGGGGATTATTATACACAGATGCCAACATCTCATTCACCTACAAGGAATTGCATTTCTTTCTAAATGAATGAGGTGGTAGAGATGTCATAGGTCCCAGGCTACCATTTTCAAAAAAGCAAACATAAGAAACACTTTCAGGAAAAGATTCTAGCATGTTTCTTTTGAATTACTGAATGATTATGTAGTTGCAAAGGCCAGAGGTATTATTTATATGAAGATTACATTTTTATACAAAAGACAGATACTAGTATTGCACTATTTTGATAGCAAAAATATTGTTGAGATCACTGTCAAACAACAGATAACTTTACAGAATATTTTTTATGTGTATAGGAAACAGTTGGATTTTTCAATCATTTTCACTTATTTTTTGATAGCATGCTTTCTGAAAACTAGCCATGCTTTCAAAAGTAATTCAGTATTTTGGTTTTAAGAATTATATCCCCAGCCCTTTAATAACAGGGATGGAAAGGACATTCTCTACATTATACCTATAATGCACATTAAAACACTTTATTTCACACAGAACAGGCAAAATTTCAAAAAACCTTTAAAGAAAACAACTGTATATATTGAGAAAAACACACAAATTCATAGATCCTACTTTTAAAAAATCTACCCTTGGAATTAGGAGTGATATAATTCCATAATTTTACGTACAATGACCTCATTTCAAGATAGGGGAATTGCTATGTTAGAATCACTAAGTGATTTTTTTTTCAACCTCTATTTATTTTCTTGAGAAAGATGAGGATTAATTCTTCTTTTGTTCTAGTATCTCAGAAAAGTCACAGAACTTTAAAAAAATTTTTTTTCTGGTAGTCCAGAGTTGGTCATCCAAGAAGAATCCCACATGAATAATTAGCTTAAATTGACTACACAGGAGAACAAGCCTTGAGCCTTAGTTAGGAATGGTCGAAGAGCGTGGAACTCATTTCTTTCTTGATCAGTTTCTTAAAATAGGGTTCTTCATCAGAGGCTGAAAAGAGGAGGACTGTACTGAAGTATGACTTTCCATTACTGTGTCTTTTTTAGGAAAAGAAATATATATATTGCTTTTCAAGTCCCATGCAAATATTACACAATTAAGTTAGAAGGTATATATTACACAAAAACTGCTGTTGATTGGTTTGCATTCTAAAATCACAAACTTCCAATCAAGTTTTGGCAGATTAACATTAAATTGCTAGCTGGTGATGCAACATAGATAAAACTAATTGCAAAGTACAAAAGTTTCTCCCTGGCATTTTTATGCTTTGACCTCAATGCCAAAGTTTTGGAAATAGCTCAACATTACTAAAAACCTAAAACTAAAATTACATAAGCTAAAAACTAAATTACACAAATAGTTCCACTTTATTTAGAACAAGAGCTTAATAAACAAATATTTGTTCTGTCTAATGAGACAGTGAGCTGAGGATATGTAATTTTAAATTAGATAGAAAAAGTCACCGATTGTTGATCTCCTTTGACGAGCTTTGACTCTAAAGGGCATGTTTGACTTGAGAAGAGAAAACCATGTAAGATATTTCATGAGAGTCTCTTTGAAAAAGCAGCCTTAAAATTTAGAGAATTTTTCACTTTACGAGGTGAATGAATATTTTCCTTAATTCCTAAAAGTCCGATAAATTATGTGGTGTATTTGTCACCAGCCAATGAGAAAAATAATCGGTGCAAAAAAGCCTTTTCGCATTAAAAATAAACACAAAACAAAATTTATTTCTAAAACATTCCATTGTATAAAGCATGCTCATTAAAATCTTCATTCATATCTCCACTATTATAGACAGACAATGCAAATCACTATCTGATAATTAAACTATCTGGAAATTATCATTTTAAACACTATTAACTATTATTACATTGATGTTTTAAAAAACATAACAATAATATGGTGTTTACTACTGGATATTTTTATGTCATTGGTCATTGATATTTTTCACGTTCATTCTTTTGTTCTTTGGAGTCTTAGCATTTCATACATTTCCAAGTAAAGTTTGACAGTTTCAATTTTTAACATCTGAGCACTTTTCTAAGAAGAATACAGCAAAAGACAATACAAATGAAAGTACTGAATATACTCAAAGCTCAGGACAAACCTATTCAAAGCCTCAATGGACTTTCGTGGATCAGAACACCCATGCCACCACTGTTCAGAAGCAGCTTTTCCCCGCTCTGTTCACCATAGCTGGGGAATTAAAATTGCCTGTGGACAAAACGGAACAGCATAAAGCATAGACCGAAACTTACCATAATTGTGGTTACAACCACTGTTCTGTTCTCAATAGCTGCAGTGTCATTGCCAAGAGTGGGGACATCTTGAATTAAGACTAACTTATCCATATCATTCCAGTAACCAACCTGCCAAACAGAGAAAATTCTTGAAAACACATTTTAGAAGAATTTCTCTAGTTCTTATTGGAACAATGAGGGGTATTAATAAGAAAGCAAACAAAACAAATTTAAAAAACAGATGAAAAAAGGTATTTGGAAGTTTTCTTAATGATGGTCAGCCAGTTTCCTAAGGTTAGTGATACTGCCTGGTTATACATTTGGCAACTTTACTATTTACAATCACGGAGTAGCCAAGACATTGGGAATGAGTGGTTCAAAAAAGAATATGGATACAGATGGAATACCATTTCATGATGATCTTCTCTTCTAGTAAGATTGACCGAACACCCTAAAATCAATTTCCATGATTTTATCAATAACATTACAGGTTTTATGGTAAAGGGAAGAGCCAGATTTACAAAGGGAACATATACAGGATATTTTCAAGCAAAAAAGGCTTTTATATTTTTAAAGCAATATAGAAATAGTTTTTGGTTTAATATAACCGAGCCACTAGGTTAGGGAACAATCTTACCATTTCTAAGATGCTAAATACATCAGAGATTAATATTAATGAAGAATATTTTCATTCTCAACGATTACATTTAAATTTGTACTTTTTCATTTTTAATTCCTTATATTACTTTCTACTTTAGACGTGAAACAAACTCCTTTCCATAAAATATTTCAAATAATTAGTTAAGCACTTTACAAAGTAGTAAACTATAACGGGATCATCGTTAAGGAAATGTAGGGTTCTTTGTAGCATGCAGAGCGTTAAGTGATAGTAACAGCTACCACTTCCTGACTGCTGGCTCTGTGACAGACACTGCATTCGAGGCTTCTTTTTATATACATCTTAACGGTCATACATACAGCAAATGTAGAGGTAGGTGCAATTATTATCCATATTTTGGAGATGAGGACCCATATTAGAAGGTTAAATAAATTGCACGAGTTATACTCTAGTCAGGCCAGAATTAAAAACTCAGTCTGTATGACATCAAGTCCATATATTTTGCTTTTATCCTACACAACCTCCCCAAATGGGTGTTCATTTAACGCTTGCCAAATTTTGTTCTTGAATTTCTGGATGCAGTTGATAAAACTCATTTCTCCAATAAAATATATGTAGATGCTCACTGGTCTGTATTCACTCTTTGTTCTAATATGTTTTGGAAGTCTCTCTTGCTTCCTCCAAGTTTCTTAACTGTCATGTTAGTATTTGTGAACATAACAAAATGAAGCAAGCATTAACAGGTCAGAAAGAGGCACTATATTATTCACAAATGTTTCATATGTAATTCAATAACAGAATAGATGGAGAAAAAGAAGTTTCATTAACATGGCTTGCTATACTTCTTAGTTTTATCCAAAATTATGAGTATATATTAATTCAGCAATTATTGTCAATTGTCTATACAAATCCATTTATAGCTGACATTTATTTAATGGTTCAGTAAAAAAATTAAAAAACAAGTATATTTTTGAGACCTACCCTCTCCTCAATTCCTACATGTACTTAAAAAATAAAAACCCTGTTTTTATTGTTTTTCCTGTTAATTCTCCTTTCCACATGACAGTTACATGACATGAAAATGAGTTTTAGAGTTTAGCACTTCATTAGGATATAGCCACCTTCTAAATCTCAGCCGCCCATTCTCCAAGAAAGACAATTTTTCTTCACTAATGAATTCCCACAACAGAAAAACCACGGATTTGGGACACATTCTGGAGAGTCTTCAGATGCTGGAAAGATCTTGACGTTTTGCATTCAAAAACAACCTGTGGGTTCACGACTATCTATTCCCAAAGGATAAATGATTTAGAAGTGCTGGCAAATTAAAATAATATGCAAAATTTTACCCAATTGTATCTATTTGCCTTATATTAACTTGTAATTCTAGTGAAAAAAGAAAGACACAGTTTGTGATGTGGGATCAATTAATGATAGAAGTCATGTGGGCTATGGACTTACTGGGAAATAAGACTTCACTGGGTGGACAGTGATCCAGGGGTCACTCCCAAAGGAATCCTAACATTTGGACCTAGAACCCAACTCAAGATGGAGTTTTTCTTTTTAGTTCTTCACAACCTTTACAATCCTCTAAGAACTTTCCCCAAGCCCTATCTCATTTAATCAGACAGGGAACTAGGCAGCTTTCCTAGAGACAGAAATTGGGGGAAAACAGTTTTATAATTCCAGAGCAAAAGTATGGAAGCATTTAAACCACTAAATTGCCAAGGGGTGTCAGAAAATATTTGTCCTCTTTGACCTCCTAAAGCTGAATTGCGTGCAAATACAACCATAATATAATGTATGAGGAAACTTCTCTGTATTTACGCAGACTTTGCCTGAAATGTAGCATTTGGAGGGGCTGTGAGGAGACCCTGTTCTACTCAAAGCTGGTTCCTTGGAGAGTTGATTTGACCTGACCAGACGTGTCCTGAAAAACATGGCTTAATTCCAATACCAGCCCCAAAGAAAGCCCTTCTGGGCCCTGGGATGGGTACTATTTCATAGTAGTTAAGAGCGTGAGCTCAGGAGCCAGGTGAGCCTTGGTTTCCAGCCCAGCTCCACTTCTTTCAAGTAGAACATCCCTGGGTAAGTCGCTTGTTTCTCTGAGCCTTCCCTTTCTCTTCTATAAAATGAGAAAAATATATCTTACGTTCAGGTTGTTGTGAGGATTAACTGAAAAAATGCACATCAATTCTCCATTATTGTGTCTGGCATATAACCTGCTTTCAATCAATATAATTTTTATAATTAAGAATTCCTGAAACTATGTAAGTCTGTCCCAGAGCATCCCCTCTCGGGGTCACTGGAATGACAAGATTCCACCATACTTAAGAGCTGGGACTTCAGAAAGAGCTTTGTGGCTCTGCTTAATGAGACTCTCCATCAGTTTTCCTGTTACAGAAGTCAGACAAATGGATGGGTTGGCTCTCTGATCTATTTTCAAAGATAACTCCCTTGCTGGCAAGTGTTCAAATTACAAGAACGATTGCTCACTTTTCAGACATATTGCCAAGTCTCACTAGCAGAATGTTTCTCATGGCAGTTTATTTTTAAGTTTAATATTCCTGACAGGATGCCCAAGTTGATCGTTGCCACAGAAAAACGAAGACAGATGAGTCTACACCATTTTACATTGCATATTTCTTTTAAGAGTCTTAGACGAATGTCAGCTGAGTGTGAAGATTCTCCCATCTTACTCTTTAACTTTCTCCTAAGAAAATCTTAACTTTTGTAGCCATCAGGATTCAAAAGTTTCAGTACTATAAAGAGCCCAATTGATATATCACTAGTTACCACCAGCTTCCTTTCTCAGTACAGTCATGAGCTGCATAATGATATTTCCACAAAGATGGACTGCATATACGATGGTAGTCCCATAAGATTAGTACCACATAGCCTAGGTGTGTAGTAGGCTATACCATCTAGGATGGTGTAAGTATACTCTGTGATGTTTGTACAACGACGGGATCATCCAACACTTTTCACAGAATGTATCCCCGTCGTTAAGCAACACATGACTGTAGTCTTTCTTTTATAGAGAGATCATTTTGCTTCTTATATTTACTGTTTTGTGAAATATAGAATTGTCTTTTGCATTTTACAAAGCTTCTGCTTCAGTGACTAACTTCACAAGATCTGGTTTGTAGCAGGAAAGTGTGTCTGTTTTCCCTCTGCCCACCAATGTTTTTAGGGGCCTGGGGAGTATTCTGTCTGCTCTACAGCTAGCAGAGGGACTTTGCTGAAAATGGGCCTCCCTCTTTTTTTCATGTTGCTGGCTGTGTGCTGATAGGGAGTGTAAAGTTGGTGTTTACATGCAACTTCCTAAATTTCTTGTTGGCAGCATGTCTCAGTCCCTTGCTGCAGGCAGTGTCTTTAGCGGAGCCCATCAGGCAGCTTGGCTTCCAAGGTCTGTCATCCATCTCCTGCCCTACCTGCTCTGCATCTCCAGCCCACCCCGTATTAGCTGGCAGCTTGCACTGAAGGAAATGCCACTAAGAGTCTGAAAAGCTAGAGATGGTTTTCATGGCAGCTCCAAATCTCTCCTTCTCGTGTATATACAGAAACACGTGCTATGACAGACTGGAGCAAAACACAACTCAGAAAGCTCTGCCATTTTTCATGTAAGACTTTAACTGTCCTGCCTCCAGCTTGTCTTCAGGTTCTTGCCTCTTCCATTTCTACCTATCCGAACTCTAACTTCATGGCTAACTTTAAATCCCACCTCCTCCACACATGCCTTCTCCTTAACTATCATATGAAATTTATTATGTTCTACTCTACTAGAAAATAAACTCCTTTACAGCAGGGTCTACTCAGGTGAGGTAATGATGTAGAGAGGTTCTGAATGAAAATCTTGTTTTTCTTACTTACAGGCCTTGGACAAGTAATTATAACCTACTGGATCATAATTTTCTCACTGGAAAAAGGGAGATAATAGTACTCACACTGTAGGTTTGTTGTGAGGATTGAATTACACCAAGTCAAGTGGTTGGGACACAGCAGGAATTTCATAAATTGTAGCTACCATTATTATAATAAAGCAGGAAAGTGTATTTGGGAATGTTTTCTTAAATAGCCAAGCATTGAAACAAATAGAGTTTGTAGATAAAGTAACTTGAACATCTCTTTCCTTGAGCATCCTAGCTAATCTTAGAGAAAAGAACTGTTAAAAATTATATGTGTTACAACCTCCCAAAACTGAATCAAGAAGAAATAATTGGAATAAACCAATCCCAAGTAAAGAGATTTAAACAGTAATGAAAAACCTCCCCCAAAATAAAAGTCCAGGGCCAGACGGCTTCTCTGGAGAATGCTACCAAACATTCAAAGAAGATTTAATACCTATCCTTCTTGAACTACTCCAGAAAATTGAGGAAGATGGAGCACTTCCTAATACATTCTATGAGGCTAACATCACCCTGATCCCAAAACCAGACAAAGACAGCACAAAGAAGGAAAGCTATAGGCCAATATCACTGATGAACATAGACGCAAAAATCCTCAACAAAATATTGGCAAACTGAATACAGCAATACATTAAAAAGATAATACACCATGATCAAGTGGGATTTATACCAGGGACACAGGGATGGTTCAACAACCACAAGTCAATCAATGTGATACACCACATTAACAAAATGAGGAATGAAAACTACATGATCATCTCAATAGACACAGAGAAAGCATTTGACAAAATCCAACATTCATTTCTGATAAAAACTCTCAATAAAATGGGTGTAGAAGGAAAGTACCTCAACATAATAAAGGCCATATATGACAAACCCACAGCCAACATCATACTCAATGGGGAAAAACTGGAAGCCATCCCTCTGAGGACAGGAAGAAGACATGGTGCCAATGCTCACCACTCTTATTCAACATAGTACTGTAGGTTTTGTCCAGAGGAATTAGGCAAGAAAAAGAAATAAAAGGAATCCAAATAGTCAATGAAGAAGTGATCTCACTGTTTGCAGATGACATGATCTTATATATAGAAAACCCTAAAAAATCCATCAGAAAGCTGCTAGAAGTAATCAACGATTACAGCACAGTTGCAGGGTACAAAAGCAACTTACATAAATCAGTTGCATTTCTATACTCTAATAACTAACAGAAAGAGAACTGAAGAGCACAATCCCATTCACAATTACAGCAAAAAGAATAAAATATCTTGGAATAAATTTAACCAAGGAAGCGAAAGGCTTATACAATGAAAACTACTTGACTTTCCTGAAAGAAATTGATGACGACATAAAGAAATGGAAAGTTATTCCATGCACATGGATTGGACAATAAATACAGTTAATGTCCATACTACCTAAAGCTAGCTACAGCTTCAATGCAATCCCAATCAGAATCCCAATGACATTCTTCATATAAATAGAACAAAGAATCCTAAAATTCATATGGGGCAACAAAAGACCCAGAATTGCTAAATCAATCCTGAGAAAAAAGAGCAAAGCTGGAGGCATCACAATCCCTGACTTCAAAATATACTACAAAGCTATGGTAATCAAAACAGCATGGTGCTGGTAAAAAAACAGGCACACAGATCAATGGAACACGATTGAAAGCCCAGAAATAAAACCACACATCTATGGACAGCTAATCTTCAACAAAGGACCTGAGAACATACAGTGGAGAAAGGAAAGTCTCTTTAACAAATGGTGTTGGGAAAACTGGTCAGCTGCATGTAAAAGAATGAAAATAGACCATTCTTTTATGCCATTCACAAAAATAAACTCAAAATGGACCAAAGACTTATAGGTAAGACCTGAAACCATAAGACTTCTAGAAGAAAATATAAGCAGTACACTCTTTGACATCAGTCTTAAAAGGATCTTTTTCAATACTATGTCTTCTCAGACAAAGGAAAAAACAGAAAGAATAAACAAATGGGACTTCATCAGACTAAAGAGCTTCTACAAGGCAAGGGAAAACAGGATTGAAACAAAAACACAATCCACCAACTGGGAAAAAATATTTGCAAATCATATATCCAACAAAAAGTTAATCTCCATAATATATAAAGAACTCACACAACTCAATAACAAAAAGTCAAATAACCAAATCAAAAAATGGGCAGGGGATATGAACAGACATTTCTCCACAGAAGATATACAGATGGCCAATAGGCACGTGAAAAGATGCTCATCATCATTGATCATTAGGGAAAAGCAAATCAAAACTACACTAAGCTTTCACCTTACATCTGTTAGAATGGCTAAAATTATCAAGACAAAAAATAACAAATGTAGGAGAGGTTGTGGAGAAAAAGGAACCCTCATCCACCGCTGGTGGGAATGCAAACTGGTGCAGACACTATGGAAAACAGTATGGAGACTTCTCAAAATATTAAAAATAGAAACACCATATGATCCAGCCCTCCCACTACTGGGTACCTATCCAAAGAATTTGAAATCAGCAATTCAAAGGGACTCATGCACCCCTATGTTCATTGCAGCGTTATTCACAATAGCCAAGATGTGGAAGCAACCTAAGTGCCCATTAACTGATGAATGGATAAAGAAGATGTGGTATATATATACAATGGAATACTACTCAGCCATAAAAAAGGATAAAATTGTCCCATTCACCTCAACGTGGATGGACCTTGAGGGTATTATGTTAAGCGAAATAAGCCGGATAGAGAAAGACAAACTCTGTATGACTCCACTCATATGCGGAAGATAAACACATAGACAAAGAGAACAGATTAGTGGTTACTAGGTGAAAGAGGAGTGGGGGCTGGGCACAAAGAGTGCAGTGGTGCACCTATAATGAGACTGACAAATAATAATGTACAACTGAAATTTCACAAGGTTGTAAACTATCATAAACTCAATAAAAAAATTATGTTAATATATAATGTTTATAGCCAATTACTGTGGTGGGATTGTACGGTTCCATTATATAAAGCACTTTTTCGATGTGAGGAAGAGCACTGACTTGCCTGTCACATTGTAAGACCAGCAGAGTTACCTTCTGAAATCTTTAGACCAGCAGGTTCCTGAACAACCTCCTTGGTGCCTCACTTGGAGTTTCATAGATGTTTCTCTCTCTTCTCAGCTTAACAATAATCTTAATAATCTTATCTTCTGCCTGCTCTCTCCTTTGCTCATTTGAATGTGTTTACATGTTTACTTCAAGAACATTCAGCCTGTTCTAAATATGCCCACCCATTAGAAGTAGTTTTCTTAGTTCTTTCTCTAACAATTTCACAAATGACCACATGGAGGTGAGTATGTCTCTTAGCTGCATTGTTTGCTTCCTGCTGAGTAAATTTTGTTTTGTGGGATTCATTTAAGTGTTTTTTTTTTTTAAATATTGCTTCCATTTTGGATAAAGGATATAAACAGTGCATAAATTACTTTGTTTCAGTTTTGGCACACCATTGAATATCAATTATATGACACAAGAATTTATTTCCTCACAGATTATCAAGAAAGCACTATTTGTAAGTACTCACATTTAAAAAAAAACGTAGAAGATCCAGCTACCTTTTACCTATAAGCCTTTAAAAATGTCAAAAGCAAACTAAGAAAATAGTTTGAGTGTGGCTCACCTTTCTAGGTCCTGTGCTCTTCAGCTCAAACACATCCATTGTGTAATTGACCCTACGTCCATAGTGGTCAAACTGAACATTCCCTGTCAGCCCTTGAATTCGAACCTATGAACGAAAAAGAAAACCCACATATGTGTTCATTTGCCAGTTCACTTATAGAAATCTCGACTTCATCTGCGAGGCTTATGACTACGTGGAGGTGTGGAACTATAAACTATAAGCAACTCACCAAAAACCCATGGGATGTTTGAGCTACTGGAATAGAATCTGAAAGAAGACTATCAAAGGAATGTATAAGAAGTTCTGCTATATACCTGGAAGATGAATATGTTTTGGTTTTTATATCATAAAATTTCCATTGGAACTAACAGAATACTGCCTCAATATTGAAGTATTGTTTATAATAAAGGAATGGAAATATGGTTTGTTTATAGTTACTTTTCAGTTTCATTTGTATATCCACACAATAGATTAAATAGCCCTGATAACCACACCAGATCATATTTCTCTTTGATAATATTAAAATTAAGATACAAGAAGTTCAAAATGTAACTATATTTTTGAAAATATTCAAGTGTACTTTATTCCATATTTTTATTAAATTCACTTTTACTTATGTTCTGAACCTATGACATTTCAGAACATTTAAAACATAATATTAAATATATAAATAAATTTACATTAATTATTTAAAAATAGTGTTGGTATAACTATAAATGACTAAAATAAACAAATTACCTAATCCAAAGTTACCAGGCAATTTAAAGATCTACTAAGGTAATCATTAGTAGTGTTTGCCAGATATTTCTGGTTCTTCCGCATTCTAGGCCCAAGGTTGCCTTGTACTTCTTGGACCTCTTGTGGTTAGCTAGGTCTATGTCACTCTTTCTGACAAATGAGTTGTAAATTGATGTGATGAATGTCACTACTGAACTGGAGCATTTAATTGCCAGTTCGAAATCTCCCCACAATTCCATTTCCCTTTGCAGCATGCAAGATGGTATCTCCTGTCAGCCTGGGCCCCTGAACGACAACAATTAACATAATGCCCCTACTAATCTAGTGTATGTGAGAAATACTCTTGTGTTGTTTTAAGCCACTGGGCCTTGGGGTTGTTTATTACTGTGGCATAACCTAGCTTATCCTGACTAAGCATCTACATAAGATACAAACATCAGTATTCTTATTTAGAAATGTCTCAGAAATGGTAATGGCTTGATATATTAAAATGGCAATTGTAATATATATTTATTCTCAGATAATTCTGTGTTCTTCAATATTCTGCCTAAACAAGACTGTGGAATAAATTGAACTTAAATAAAATTGTGAGTTACCTGTTTGAGTGTCCTCTCCATGTCAATTCCCTGGCCCCATGGAGCAGCAGGATTTGCCAGACAATCTCCGGCATTGCCTCTCCTCGAAATATCAATTTTCTGCCTTCTAAGATTTCGGAAAGTTTCGGCCATCACGAGGACTCCATCATAAGTCAGAGCAGACGTGTACTAACAAAATAAGAGTAATTATAACAGTAAACATTAAAATCTTATCAACCACCAAGAATGGTCTGGGGGCTCTGTTGCTCTATGACGTAAAGCATCATCTTGTCTGAAGGACAGTTAAATTACCCATAATTAATTGACTCTAGCTTCTGAAATTTCTATTATTGCTTTATTACAAAGACTGTATACCAAACCTTACCATTCTGATTTAAAAAGGAGAAAATACTTCTTCGGAAGTATAGAAATTCTAATACACAGTTTTACATCAGTTGGGAGAAGCAAGACATCTAGGTTAGGTCTTTCTGTTGTGTCCAAGTAGAAACAGTGGAAGTATAAAGAGCTAAGCACAGTATTGCCTCAGTCTGCCTCGTGGTCTGTTGCTGTGCCTGAGCCCCAGGAGGCCAGGGATGTCTCACTCCTCCTCCAAAATTCCCAGCAGGGCCCCCTGAAATTTTATATATGTTTATTGATTTGAAGTGTATATCTTTATTCAGTTCCTCAGAAGAATGGGGAGGGATGTTCGTCGTTACTCAGATATAGGATGCCAGAAATAACATCTACATATTTAACAAACGTGTGTGCCCCGGTCCCTGTGCTGAATAGGAATGAGTATCGCTGTGCCCATGCCCTTTGAGTGTACTCAGAAACGTTGAGTCATTTCTCTAAGCTTCCACTGTAACCTGGGATCAAAGTGGAGAAGTGAAGTACAGACATCTGCTTTCTGATGATTCCCCCTCTTCTGCTTCTCTTTGAGGTATGATGGAGCCTCCAGGAAGAGATCATTAAGGTTAGGAGAGGAACTGAGGAAAAACTGAGAAAATGTAATTCATTTAAACTGAAAATAAAAAGAACAAGGAATACATGTACAGTTTGATTACAGAACTCCTTAACACATGGAAAATGTGGCACATTTTCTTGAAGCATCAACTGCTAATCATGACAAAAAAACCACATTATCCCTCTCAGGAGTTCCATATGGTCAACTCCATATGACTAAGACATTCTAAGCCTATAGTAAGGATAGTTTTGTGCTATGGAATACGGAAGATGATCTCCTTGATTAGCTCCTTGTAAACAAAGAAAAATCATCTGAAATTCAAATTGTAGATAGAAAACTTGGGCAAAATGACTACTAGGTATGGCAACCAGCATTCCAGGGAAGAGGAAGACCAAAACATGGAGAAGATAAAGAATATCAGTTCTAACGAAGAACCTTTCAATGGTAGAGGACCCAGTTCAAAAGCTTTCAGTAGAAAGATTTATGTGAGACGTGGAAATTGAGAGCTTTGCAATATATCTTCAAGGACATGACAAAATAGGCTTAAGGATAGGCATACACTCTCACAATCGGGGTGGGGTGGCTGAAGGAGATTAAGGTGCTTAAGCAGTGCTAAACCAAACAGGAATATACCTCCTTCTCTGCCTGGACCAACATGTCTTTGAGTAGAGAAAGCCATCAAATCATCTTCTTGTAAGGGAAGAAAATAAATCAAGAAAAAAAGTGAAACCTACTAAGGACATAAAGGGCAAGAGAAAAATGCAATGCTAGTATTTTAGGATCAAGAGAGGAAAAAAGAAAAAGAAAAATATTGTTACTTTTTTAATGGGGAGAAAAAAGCTAAGAAGAGATGGCACCAAAAAGCGAATGCACTTGCTGTGTTTTAAAAAGTCCATCCGTTTTTATCAAACAAGTGAATTAGAAAAAAGAACAGATATCCTACAGAGCAGAACAGAGCAGAGCAAAACAGACATTTGGCCAGAGCAGCAAAGGCCTTTGACAGGTCGTAGAGCTGATAGATGGAAAGAAGTAGTAGTTTCAATCAGTTTTACCTTTCAAAGGATTTCATTCTTTTCCACGTGCCTTATTGTGCTGAAGTCTAAGAAATCATATTTATGGGCACACACTTCTAGATGGCATCTGGAAAATTCTTACTAAATAAACACTTCACTTTGGGGCAGGGTAAAACCAGGTCTTGGCCTAGAGTCATTTTTGCTTTAGCCAGAAATTAGAAGGGTGGAATGAGTTATGTTTACCAAGAGTGTAGATAACAAGACAGAATTTGGCAGAATCATTGTGCAGTGACAAGAGTCTTGCCTTTGAGAAGAAAGAACTAGATGAATTCTAATTCTGCTATTCATAGTTTTACAGGAATGTGGAGTACAATCTTCAGCAATGGAACACAAAACTCAGCAAAACCAAATTTAAAAAGGTAGTAAGGACTATCTCCTGTGGTTGTGGTGAGGATGAAATTTCATATCATATCTGAGAACTTTTTGGAAAATGTGCTAGGCACTAGCTAGGAATGGTGAGGACTCCAAAGATGCATAATAGACACACACACGTTCCTAGCTGCAGTCAAGCAAGGCAACACTCTGCCTCCTTACTTCAGCTTATACTTTAGACAAGCGTCCTTTTTGTGGTCTCTCTAATGCCAGGTTTTCACAGTTTTATGCTTTTTCTGACTATTTCACTGTTTAAAGTGGCCCAAAAGTGCAGTGCTGAAGTGCTGTCTACTGTTCCTTAGTGCAGGTAGGCAACGGTGTGCCTTATGGAGAAAATACGTATGTTAGATAAGCTTTGTTCAGGCATGAGTTATAGTACTGTTGGCCGTGACTTCAGTGTTAACTATATTGGAAAACTTTTTACAAGAATATATTGTCAATGAGAGATTAGTAAAAGTTGTTAAAAATGATAATGTCTTATTATGTAGGAGCTCGAAACCGCGAAGTTGGAGTTTAAGAAACAATATGCTATTATTTACATGATGTCTAAGGAAGTCACCTATCTTTTCAGGTGAGGAAAAAATGTGCTTCTGATCAGAAATTTACCAGCTTCTGTTGCGGATTCCAATAACATACTGCTGCAATGTCCATCAGAAAAAATTAAACAACCTGACCTTTTGCTATTAATTTGGAAAAGAAATTTTGCATAAGCTTGTACATTTTACATTTGTACCAATTTACCTACTCATTATAAATCACATTGCAAATATTGTTTTTATTTGAGTGGAATAATTACCAATGGTTGTTCATATTTGAAATATTTAGTTAACAAAAAGTTTCTTAAAAGTATACAATTTTTTTGCAGAAATTCATATGTGAAATAATAATAATAGAAAACTATTTGAGCTAATGTCTAACAACTGTACTCAAATATAGAAATTAGAAATTACTAAGAGCTTGTGAAGCACAATGATAGTGACTAAATGCTTCTGCCCTATGCCACTCTACGTCTGACAAAATATTATTAGAAGAACAACATAATGAACTTTCTAACTTAAATTTTAAAAATACTAAAAATATGTAAGATAAAAACAAACAAATACCTTTGGAGGAGTCTCAGATCCTGGATACTCCCTCTGATCTAGTTTCTTCCAACGATCCATTAGTTTGGTTACCATAGGTGTATTAAAATCTACCAACTGAAATCCTGTAACATTGGCTCCACCATGGATAAACCTCTCAAGAGAAATATCCTTGAATCCCTACAAAAATCAACATGACAGTTTAAGTTTAGTTCATTGTTATACATTTCAGCTCTTCACTGGTAACACAAATCAATAACCAATATATACATCTTACTAGATTTCTAATACAGCAATGGCTGGAAACAGATGGAAGATCCAGTTATATCAATTTATCTGTTAAATTCTGTCATTCAAAATCTAATACATGAGAAAAGGATATGAATGTTTTCAATTCAGTTCACCTCAATTCAACAAGTATTTCCTGAATGCCTTTTATGAGGCATGGAGGGGGATGTAGGAGATGAATACGGTAGCATTAAAGAGTCTCCTGTTGAAGGGATAATTGCCCTCTGATGTAGATAAATAGAAACATGTCTATGTGAAGGTAATATCAAGGTATGAAGGTACTCTGAGTGTGTGACGGGTAACACCATGTTAGGGGGATTCAATTTAATTACAAAGTGATCTAAAAGCAGACACAGCTGGTAATTTGAAAAAGGGAGGGTGAAAGCTTTGATTACATCAGTCCCTACAAACCTCATAGTCCTGGGAAAGGGAAACGGAAGAGAAAAGAGCAAGATAGGCCATTCATGGAGCCTTGAATGGTAGGAGAAAAGATGGTGTCTATCAGGTGGAGTGAGGAAGCTGGGAAGAAAGGGTGTTACCTTTTTTGGTCCAGTGGTAGTTATCTGAGTTTCAAAAATTCTGGAAAGTTATTTTCTATCTGTCTGTCTATCTATCTATCTGTCTATCTATCTTCTATCTAGTTTGCTTTACACCTGTTCCCTTTTTTCCCCACTAAGTATTTACAGTACCTTACAAAATTACACACTCAGTACAAAGTGTAAAACAAATGAACAATTACCAGAAGAGAGCAAAAAGCATATTAGTGTAGTGATAGTAAAAGTAAAGGTATTAGCTCAGAGAAAAATAAACACACAAACACACACACACACATGCACAGATGCACATCAGTTTGTATGACTGTATTTGCTTTCCTTCTTGTTTTCTCTTAGTATTTAGTAAAGTTTCTTTTGCAAATGTGAATTTGGTTCAGTTGTGTTGAGGGGACCAAGGGAAAGAAAGTGCTCTGTCTTTTTTTTTTTTTTTTTTTGAAGTGAAATATGCAGCAGAGACCGTGCAGTTGCAGTCGTAGTAGGAATCAGTGCTGGAATAGGGGAGAAGAGGGAGACTGATGTTGTCTCTCCTCCCGAATGGGTCTCAGCCGTGATTTGGGAAACGTCTGTGTGTGCTTTTTTTTTTTTTTTAAATAACAAAGGAGGTTGTACTAGCCAATATACGCACATTGCTGTTTGGTTATTTACGAAGATGCAGACCAGTGTATCGGCAACTAAGCAAAGTCACTATTGGGAGTCCCAGGAGTGCTGATCAGCTAATAGCTAATACTGATGCTGGGCTTATTATTATGTGCCAGGCACTGTGCTAAGCCCATTACACAGATTATCTATCTAGTTTAGTTCTCATAACAAGCTTAAGAGGTAGATCCTATTACTAGCCTTATCTTACAAATAAGGAAACCAAGCTCGTGGGTCAAAGAAAAACTATTCAAGATCACCCAGCAAATACATATTAGAACTACATGACTCTCGAGTTTGACATTTTTACCCCATGCTGCTGCATATTCTTACACAAACATGTGTGATCTTAATTTTGGTAATTTTGCAAATACCAAAGGAGAGTCAGGGTGATACTGTAGACAATAGCCCAGGCTCCGAATCCCACTTCTGTGACTTTCTGGCCTTAGGTTTCCCACATGCAAAGTGAGAATGATAATGCTATAGTAGTTAGCACATCTGGTTTGAATTCAGTAAATGCTAGCTATTAGTAATTAATTCATTCAACAAATATTTATTTCATGCCTAGTAGGTGCCAGCTAATTTGACAGCTCATCAGTAACATTCTCATTTCACTGGGGAAGAAACCAGACACCAGAAAGCAAATCTATGTTTTTAAAATGGGAAAACACTGTCCATCAATCCCTAGCTGGTAAAATGTCAGTTGAACATTTATTTGCCTGTACGAGAATATAGGGCAGCCGCACAGGCAGGCAAATAATTTCAGTTTTCCAAAAGCCACAGTGATTCAACTGTTGCATTAGTTGCTAATTGATGACATTATTTTCTTTCAGCAGTGGCTGAAATAGAAGGCCTGCCTAGCTTTCTTTCATAACATTGTCCCACAGCTGCAAGACACAGGCAAAGCTGCAGCCTTCAGAAAAATCATCTGATGCAAAGTCTAGCGACAAATAACAATCCACATTTCTCTGATTCCATCCTGCAGACACGCTGAAGGTAAAGGAAAAAATATTACCATATCTGACTATAAACTCCTTTCAGTTATGAGCTGAATGAATGGTGCGTGGCTCAGCCAATTTTAGCCATGTCTGTTTGAGTACAGGAAATAGTTTTCCTTTCGTATATTTTTAAATGATTTTATACAGAAAATTGATGGGCTCAAGAGCGTGAAGCAGTTTCCTTGGAAATGGTTACTTTGGTGGCCATTTAGATTTCAGTTTTTATCCACAGAATATTGTGGAACTGAAAGTTCTGGGCGATATTGTAATAAAACTGTATCTACAATGTGGGGAGGGGAAACAATGGCTAAGACACTGAGTAAACAATGCCCCTGAGGGAAGAGGGGAGAGCAGGGGAGAGGTGTTCTGTGCTGAAAAGGGCTCTTCAACAATGCTTGCATTGCACAGTGGTTTGTGACCTCTGAAGCCAAGATTAATTTCCAATTTGGTTTTCCTTTAAATTTCTATTTACTGTTCATACATCCTCTGGGGGAAAAGAAAATTAATGAATTATAGGACTTCAGATATCTTGATGACTATTGGTGTAAATCCATAGGTCCATCGCATTATAGGTGCTTAACAAACACTCATCCTTTAAGTTTTATCTAATTCAGATACATTTCTGCTGTTTTGCATTTCAGGTTTATAAGTTGACTAAATCATATTGAGACAGCTCTAGTGTAGTTAACAGAAGGAATGCCAAGCAGAATGGGAGAGATTCCCTCTCAATATCTTTTAAAAATTAGGTTGCTAAGAAACTGATTTAAAGTATGCATTTTTCATGGTCAAGTAGATGATGGAGTCAGACATGCTCAATGCAAAAAAGTTAAAATATAGGACGCACAAAGGAAAAAGTTAAACAATGTCTCCAAGTTCACAGAATCTTAACTGGGTCATTGCACTTGAGTGAAAATGTGCGAGACTGCAAATTTGAGGAACTGAGTTCTAGTCCACATTCTGACACTAACTAGACGCCTAAATGTGGACATCACTTTACTCTCTGTATCTTAATTTCCTTACCTTCTAAATGAGGCATGAATGGGGTGTGCATGTGTGTGTGTGTGTCTATGTGTGATGTGGTGAGGGATAGGTAAGGAATAGATTCAGTTAAACTTTAATGATATACCCTGAACATTCTAGAACTTTACACTACTTTATGACAGAGCAGGTGTTTTCCTAGATGTAAACTGAATACATGTGAAAAAATTGAAAATCTAAATGAGAGCAAGATTTTAAGAATTTGCCTTGCAGGTGGAATAAATGTAAACAGTTCCTTGTTGCTATTGGTGTCCATATTTAAATTATCTGACTGTTGGATGAGGGGTGAAGAAAGACTTGAATATAAATACAGAGAATGTTTGTAAGGCCAGACCCCCTTTAAGGGTGGTATAGGAAATGCTTAAATGAATGGTTACTTTGTGGCTATATAAGCTATTCACTAATTTTGGAATTTATTTATTTATTTTAATTTATTTATTCTTTTCAATCGGATAGGACAGAGTTTCAATGTTGCTTTTGATATTTCATGGTATATACATATATATATATATACCACATCCTCTCTATCCATTCACTCATTGATGGACGCCTCAGGTTGTTTCCGTACCTTGGTTATTTTGAATAATGCTGCAATGAACATGGAGTACAGATATCTCTTTGAGATAATTATTTTGTTTCCTTTGGATATATACCCAGAACTGGGATTGTAGGATCATGTGGTAGCTCTAGTTTTAATTTCTTAAGAAAACTCCCTGCTTTTTCCATAGTGGCTGTTCCCATTTCTCCACGTTTTCACCAACGTTTGTTATTTGTTGTCTTTTTAATAACAGCCATCCTAACAGGTGTGAGGTGGTATCTCATTGTAGTTTTGATTTGCGTTTCCCTGATGATTAGTGATGTGGAGTACCTTTTCATGTACTGTGACCATTTGTATGTCTTCTTTGGAAAAATGTCTATTCTTTGCCCATTTTTACATTTTAAATTTCTTGTGTTGCTCTTGAGTTGTATGAATTCCTAGTATATTTGGGATATTAACCCCTTATTAGATATGTTATTTTTAAGTATTTTCTTCCATACCTCAGGTTGCCTTTTAATTTTGTTGATGGTTTCCTTTGCTATGCGTAAGCATTTTAATTTGAGGTAGTTCCCCTTATTTACTTCTGCTTTTGTTGCCTTTGATTTTGGTATCAAATCCAAAAAGTCATTGCCAACATCAGTGTCAAGGAGCTTACCCCTATGTTTTTTCTTTTAAGATTTTAAGTCTACTTTCTAGCCTTTAATCAACTCTGAGTTGATATTTGTGTATGGTGTAAGATAGGGAGGGGTCCAGTTTCATTCTTTTGCATATGGATATCCCCACTGTATATTCCTGGCTTTTTTGTCAAAAATTAAATGCATGGGTTTATTTGTGAACTCTCTGTTTTGTCCCATTGATCTATGTATCTGTTTTCAGCCCAATACCATACTGTTTTGATTACTATAGCTCTGTTATATAGTTTGAAATCAGGAAATGTGATACCTCCTACTTTGTTTTTCTTTCTCAAGGTTACTTTGCATATTCTGGGTCTTTCGTGGTTCCACATAAATTTTAGGATTGTTTTTTCTATTTCTGTGAAAAATGCCATTGGAATTTTGATAGGGATTACCCTGAATCTATAGATTGTTTTGAGTAGCATGGACATTTTAACAATATTAATTCTTCCAA